TTTTTTTTTCCATTCTTTGCATACTTTGTCCTGTGTCTCTAACTTGCCAGTTATTTCTGCTGGTGTCGTCGCTGCTGTTTTTTTTTTCCCTTCTTTTTTCTTGGGGGGGATGGGGGAAGGAAGGTGTGGTGGTGGCACATGCTGATTTTGTTCGTTGTTCCAATTTGAACGGTTCTTGGGAAGGACAGATAAGATAAGGGGGCCCTTTCATTTTCTTTTCTCTAAAGCTTCCTGTCTCTTAAGGGTCTCGCCGCACGGCACACGAACGAAAACGAAACGAGTGCATCTGCCCACGAAAGGTGGCAAAATACACTCGTTACTATTTATAGCAAACCGATGGACCTGGCCATTTTCTGCCGGAAGATGCATTCGTTTCGTTTTTCGATTCGTGTGCCGTGCGGCGACGCCCTAAGACAGGTGAGATTTTGACGTCAGTTTCTAAAACATGTCCTAGATTCTGAAATGTTTTCAGATGCGGTATCATTTCTTTTCTTGTCTTTGTTCTCATACGAGTTGTCTTTTTTTCCCCCCTAGGGTTTGTCATTAGGATTCTCTGGAACAACCGTAAAACCTCCTCTCGCGGAAACTTCTCTTACAGTATTCTTTTCACTCCAAACGGGGCAAAGGTGTCGCAGGCCCCAAAATTACTTTTCCTGTCTTTTCTATTTTCTTTTCCTTTTTTCGTTTTTCCTTCTTCTTTTTTTTTTTTTTTTTTTTTTTTTTCCCTGGCTGGGCCGGTAACACCGGTTGTATAAAAAGGGGGGGAAAGTGTTTTACAGGGTGCAAAAATGACGATGAAGGTCATTTTGGGGCCTGGGGCACCTTTTGCCGCGTTTGGGGGGAAATGAATACAAAGGTTTTGTCGCAGGGGGGGTTATGACTTTTCCCAAAGTTTAACCAAATGTCTGTCATCCTAGAGTTTCTAGGACATCCCGTAGTAGAAACGTTTTTACATTCCTTGTCATTTGTTTTCCGAGATCTGTCATTTGGACGCCGTGGAACAACCAAAGACCACAGTACCTAGGTTTTCTTGGATGTGTTCAATGGGAACCTACTTATGGAGACAACTGC